GGGGGAGTATTCTAATTCCAAATTACTTATTCCGTCATTTTTCTGTTCAATGTCCACATTTAATACCAAGAATGTTGGCTCTAATAGAAGTCACAAACTAATTACTGTGACTTTGAAAGTTGAATTCACTCATACCATTTGTACATTTATATGAAATAAAATACAGCAAAGCAGAAAAAAACGGCACTTATCTATATACCTATTGATTTCAATGAGAAACTGAAAACCTTATTTATAAAATCTGATATGAATGAAATATCAGGGAATAAACATAAATTAATGATTGTTTCAGAGGACTGTACAAAATGTTAGTCATAGCATTCATTAAAATCATTTAGATAAAGTTAGATGGATATTAGTAGGGATACTAGTTTATGAACCTGACTTGACAGTGAAAATAAGTGTCTGTCATAACAAAAATAATAAGAGGAAAAATAAGCAAAACAAAATAAGGGTTTGAAATTAATTTTATTTACTTAATAAATGGTGAATAGATTTGATCTGCAATGAGCAATTTTGGGATACATAATTCTGGACCGAGTCCAACGTAATTGTCCCAAATACTTTGTCAGTATCAAGAACCTGTAGAAAATGAATGGACAGCTGTTACTTTGGCTTAGGGATTTTTAAAAAAGAAATTCCTCCCTCCCAATACAGATTTTATAACATTTTTTTTATAAACCACAAATTTGATTAAATGGATTCAGTAACTGAAGTAGATGCTGTCTATGCGCAGCCAAAATTATAGCAACATCAATGTTTAAGACCTTATCCAGAGGGGGGGGAATAATAAAAAAACAAAAAAAAACTTACACCAAATTTTCCCTTGAAGAAAAAAATCTGATTTGTTCTATTTTATTGAGAAGTCAGTCTAGACAAAAATACACAGCATATTTAGAGTGTTTCTCTTGACTAAGGTGCATCAAGTCTTCAGCCTTGCCATTTTTTGTCTTATGTTCAAACAAAAAAGACTTTTCAACATTTACACCAGTACATGGTTTTTCAAATGCAAAAGCAAGGTTTGTGGATTATTCATTTCGAATCAATTTGCACCAAATATTTTTTCAAAGATTGAAAAATAATCACTTTTAAGGTTTTCTATTTTACAGAGATGCTTTCTATTTTGGTATGGACAGAATCTAAAATAGTTTAATACTTAATGGCCTCACAGCTACAGGAATTCAACTCAGTGTGCAGAGCAAGCAACCCAAATATTAAAATTTACTTGGAAGTTTTCAATGAAGTTAAAAACAAAGCTAAAAAACATCATACATAAATAAGTGCTATTTCTCTCAGTCAACATACATTTGTATATTTTAATAGACATTAAATATACACATTCAGTACATAAGTTCACACACACAATAATAATAATAATAGCCTATATATAGTATATATTTTTACACAAGTCTACCAGATAATAAACCTCTGATGATTAATCAATTATATTGAACAACAATAAATTAGTCAAAAACCTTCAAAGAGCTCCTTAACTGATGTCCTTGGTTGGTGTGTGTTGTTTTGCAGTCATTTACTTTCTCATCAATTCAATATAATTCTAACAAAAGTAATTTCTGATTTAAAAATCAGGCAAACTAAAATTAACTGTCTAAAAACTGAACTCCACACTCACATTAATACACAAACATTTAGAGAGCCCATATGAAGTTCATGCTACACGTTTTTTTTTTATCTTCAAAAATATTTGTGTGAGGCAATAGTAAATATGTTTGGTTATAAGATTTGTATTTTTAATTGTTGTGTTCTTAATTTGTAAACAACTAATTGTCACTCCCTAGACCATATACAAAATAAAGTTGCCCATTTTAATCACACCAAAATCTCACAAGTAAAATGACTCAAAGGAAATAAAATATGTATTAAAATCAATTAACTATCTGGGAGGAAATATATATTTCATAGAAAGGAAAAGACATAGGTTAGTTGTTTTTGTTTAAATTTGTTGCTGTTTTTAAGGTTTTATTTGTCATGTTTATAATTTTTCCCTCCCCCAAAAACAGTTGGAGCAGGGTGGTTAATGTGTTGGTTCTATCAAACACTACTTCTGAAACTGGTTCTTAAGATTTGTTTTTCTACAAGAATGTTAATAATGTTAATGATATACAAAGGTCTGAAAATTTCAACAAGTCAATTAATCATCAAGGGAACATACATTATCTGATATGCATAGACAACAACTGGTAAAATACTAGCAGAGAAGCTAGTATTGAGTGGCATAAAAGGAAAATCGAAAAGCAGGCAGGATAAGAGCCACTACCACTAATCCCAGGTAGAAACTCACACCAGACAGAGCTTAGAAAAAAAATTAGAAAAATTATATTAAATAAAAAAAAATGAAGAGCATAAGCAAAAAAAAAAAAAAAAATAAAGCTATAATTGAGGTTTGCATTTTTTCTTCAAATAAAGTAGATTATGAATGAATAAAATATAAAAATGGAGAAATGCTTCTGTTAAAAAAAAAAAAAAAAAAAAATGTAATGAAAATGTAAAAGACGGTGATAATTTGCGAAATGAAAGAATCTTTTGAAAAATACAATGCAAACTGAAATCGGTTGAATTATCCACAAAACTCTGGATTCAACAGCAGTAATTTGTTCAATTGAAATTGGTAACAACTTGTGGATCTTATGGTAATTCAAATAGAGAGAAAAATATAACAAATTTACCTGCTAAATCAAATAGTCTGTCAGGTACAAAATATGGGGAATAAAAATAACAATGCTGTTAGATGCAGTACACATTTTAACACAAAATATTTAAATATCATGAGGTTAATTTATTTTTTATCACCTGAAAACAAAATTATTCAGTTTTAAACTAAGTTGCAATCAACAAGAAAAATCTTAGAATATTTAAATTCAATAATTTAATTTCTCTTTAATTCCTCTTTAATTCTTTTAAACTTTACTAATATTTTCTCATTTTTTTAAAAATGGAGGTAAATAAATTATCATAATTAAAAGGTGTGGCATTTGCCACTGCTGCAGGACCCCTGCCGCACCATCATTTTAAACAAGTGATTTTTTTTTTCTCAAGTACACAATACCACACTGGTAAGCAAAGTTATGAAAACTGTTATAAAACCTACAAGCTGGTTAAGTGAACTTGTGGAATCAACAGTAGCTTAGTTGTAATCATTTTTGTTTATACTATTATCAACATAATAGTAATTTGTATTTTACATGTGATGCTTAAAACAATAATGTTTTTTGTCAACATAACAAGAATCATTATTATAGTGGTACCAATGATAATAATAATAATAATAATAATATCAAACCAGGCCAAAAAAACACAAAGAGGAGGGAAGTTTATTTGATAAGATGAAAAAAAAAAAAAAATTATATTACAGTGCTCAATTTCTTTTTGGTGTGTGTATGGGGGGGGATTTTTAGAGTTGATTTCAGTCTTATTTTATTTTTGGAAAGATGGGGATTGAGCTTTGTATGAATACATGCACTTTTTATTTACTACTCTTGAATCTGCAATACTGTCTTCAGTGAGATAGAAAGCAGGGCACACATGGCAGATCAACACAATGAAAAGAAGAGGAGGAGGATGATGGCCAGAAAGATAAGGCAAAGAGAAAAATGGGGAAACAAAAGTCAACAACCAACACTTGTTTTAAATTAAAAAAATAAAATTTACAATTTTTTTTCATGAATATCATTTTTTTGGCTGTTTACACATTCAAGATATATTCTATGTGCAATTGAAAATGTAAAAACAAGTGTGAATGAATATATATATATATATATATGTGTGTGTGTGTGTGTGTGTGTGTGTGTGTGTGTGCATGCATATACAAACATAGGTACAGGTATATTTGAATATGTTTGTGTGTGTGTGTGTGTGTGTGCACATTTTAATACCTTACATGTACACACACTTATACATACATATCATATTCATAAAAACCTGTGTTTGTGTGTTGCTTTCAGCAGAGTTGTTTAAAAGGTTTCCAGCTTGAAACATTGTTAAACAGACATGGAAGTTGGTGGAGGAGGAGGTGTAAATGAACTTTTAAGCTGAAGACTGCTCCAAATTACAAAATAATGAGAAGGTGTCAGATGAAATCTTCCAACTACAGCAGCAACAACTCAAAACTTAAATTGAATTCTGGATGAAACCACTGCTGAATTTCATGATCCCACCCCCAGTGCACTATGACGAAAGTTCAATATTTTAGTTCAGTCAAGTTTAGTACATAATTCTACATGGGATTAGATAATTTTTCACAAACTTTTGGGAACTTTAATTTCAACTTTTGCAGCAGTGCACTGTTCAAATTATTTTTCAAGTTTAAGCATTTATCTATTACATGCTTAAGAAACTTTCAACAACTTTTTCAGCTTACTGACTCTTTTCATTAACTGACTACATATAGCTTTATGTCATTCAACAAAAGCTCCTCAATCTTTTATGTTAGGAACGAGTTAGAGTTGATCAATTACAAATCTACAGCAGCTGTTGTGTTAAACAGTCAAAATTCACCAACCATTGCAATAAAATGTTACAATTTGTTTTTAAACATTATTTTACTCTTTTTGCTCCAATTTCTGTTTATTTTTATATGATACATGCATGTGCTAATGAGATGGAATGTCTGTTGCCATGACAAATGTATGGAGAAAATGGAATTTGAATGTAAGCTTTGTACAAGAAAACCAAAGGATGAAGGTGCTGGTGATATCAGCCAGGGATTAAAAAATAGGAAAAGGTTATTCCTCATCCCTTTAAACTAGGCAGGTACCACCATTTAATATTCAGCATCAACAGTTTTTTGTCTTTTTTAATACCGAGTAGGTTGAGCAGCAAGGAAGGATTGGGTATTCCACTATTTGGCAAGTAGATTGAGTATACAACAGTTAATATCTGGTTTAGAGTTGGACAAGCAGAGAGAATATCTGCTACTGCTATCTTTGCTGCCTCTGTTCCTCTCATTTCGCTATTGTCTAACACCTGAAAAATTGTTATATTCACTGCCGATCCAGTTTAAAAGAATCTTCTGTAGCAGCATCTGTAACAAGATTTGGATCAGTCAGCATTTGAACAGCATCAAGGTCAAGCGGATCCAAACCCATTTTCCATGCTTCTTCCACAGGAAAGAAATCAGTGTCAAAGTCATTGAAACCTGTGATAGCATTGCCAAGTTCTTTGGCAAAATCCTGCCTAGATAAATCATCAGCACCTGGTAAAAAAATGATTGAAAGATAAACATTAAATACAAAATAACTGAAATACTGTTAGTGATAAAAATTTTGACAGATTATGTTACTTTTTGTTATAAATCATTTACAAATTATTTCACTTGTTTGGGAAGAACAGAAAATGTTAGTGGCATCATTAACCTAGGAAAATTAAATATGAAATTGAAAATTTTCTACATAAAGTAAAATTTAACCTTACAATAAATTTAATGTTTATTTTAGTTGACAATACAGTGTAACCCGGATATAAGAGAGTTGTCGGGACCGGAGAAGTCTCTTATATTCGGGTTTGGTCTATTTTGTTTAGGTAAGTATGGGAACACTTCATATGACGCTTTTTACATACAGAACACTAGTTTATTTAACAGTTATAGACATAAAAAACACAGACAAAAATACATTTTCAATCAGTTTTTTTCAAAAAAATAATTCAATCAAAATTACTTTTTCTTAAAAAAGTCAGTCATTTTTGATTGTACAGAAATCTCTTTGTTAACATCATGAACACTTTCATACAGTCCGTAAATCATTTTCAATGCGCCATCAGGATTACTGCTTTTTGCTTCAAAGTAGGCTGTCAGAGTTTCAAGCACATTCAATGCAGCCAGAGAATTTGGCACTGGTTTGTCACTTTCAGAAACTTCAGAACTTACGCTTTCAGCATCATCATCTTCGTCAAAATCTTGATCATCCAGATTTTATACCACGTGTGATGTCCGTGTCAGTCAGTTCTCCATAACATTGTGTACGGTCGTCGAAGCTGATAAATTCGTCAAAATCTGTTTGCCGTGGTTTTGCCGACTTACCAACAACTACAGCTTGCTTTTCACTGCCGCCCATGTTTGTGAACTGAAGCATCGTGAGTCTGTCTTTGGGAACTTTTGTCCCATTTGACTGTTCGTCGCCGGCAAATCGCAAAGATCCAGACGGCATGGCTTTGTAGAAAATTCCCGTTTCATCACAGCTCCAAACATCTTTTGGATCATATCCACGAAAAAGTTGCGGCAAAACGTTTGTCACCCATTCATTGGCAGAACCGTGATCTGCTGATGTTGATTTGCCGTGAAATTTTTTGAACGAAACGTTATTGGCCTGCTTCCAGCGCATGAGCCAGCCATTGCTCAGTTCAAAATCAACTTCAAGATTTACGGCCAGTTGTGATGCTTTCTGCCTGATGACGTGATCGGTGACGGTAGCTCCATGAGCACATGCTTGCGTAAGCGCTTCGTTAACGTCCTTGTGCACGGATTGGCGCTTTCGTTTGTGATTAGTGTTTCCGTTCATTTGCATGCAAGATCTGAGATCGTCTTCTTTCTTGAGAATTTTTGCTGCTGTTGAATAACCGATTCCGTACTTTTTGGCTGCAGCGGCCAGTTTGAGTTTCTTCACTTTGACATCGTCGATGAGCTCCAACTGTTCAGAAATGCTCAGAGTTTTTCATTGAGACGCCGACATCACTAATCGCAATGATCGCAAGCAAACGGTTTTCAGTGGCAAAATTAACAAACAGACAAACTTCTGACTCAACAGAACAGTGGGTAAAGTGAAAGTGCTGTCCAGTAAATGCAACGACAAGCAAAGTCGGCAAAAAAGCGGGCGGCGCTACCCTTAGACACACAAAGCAAAATCATAAGGTAGAGGGTGTCTCCTACAGACACAGATTGGACACACTGTGTCTCTAGACTAGTCAAGATTAAGTCATTGAACTTCACTCTCTTTCTAACTGACCTCTGTTTGACCGATTTACGACATCACACTGTCACTCAAAACGAACTCTTATATCGGGGAGGACGGGACCAGAGAAAATCTCTCTTATATCCGGGTCTCTTATATCCGGGTCTAATTTATATACATTAACACAGGCTCTAATTTGGGACCAGAGAAAATCTCTTATATCCGGGTTACACTGTATATATAATGTACCTTTTTTTTTCCATAGAAGTTACATTTAAAATTCCTTGGATCCAGGAAGGTAAAATTGTTGTGAAGTTAAATTTATTTAACATTCCTACTTAAAGTGTGTGTGTGTGTGTATTTGGGATAATGCTTACAAGCACCTGTAACATTTTGACACGATCAAATGAATTTTATATTCTGACCAATATTGTTCTTGTCAAAAAGTATAGAGAATTCAGTATGAATGGAACTGAATAAAATTTATGAAGCATAGAAAGTTAAAAAAATAATAAAAGGTATAAAAAACTTCAATATTTACCTATTTAAATTTGACTCAAGCATTTTATTTGTCCAAATTTATAAATGACTTTTACAAGACAGTTTCTAATTCTTTTTGCTAACACTTTCATTATTTTTTTTCAGCTAAAAATGACTTAGAAGTTTCCATGTGTAGATTCTATGTGAAAAATAGGCCTGGATTAAGTATACAATGAGAAATTATAGCTGTTGTAGATGAAGCTATTATTGTGTGTGTGTCTATTGCAGGGATTGGGTACAAAGTTGTAAACTGATGTCAAAACATGGGGCCAAGGATGTAGGATAAGTAGGAGAAATAGAAGCTGAAATGTCTGCAGTCCAATTTAAGTTCCTCCAAGACAATCATGTTTTATAGTTATTCTTTTTGCAGCTGATAAGATTGATCACGCTTCATTGATACAGCAATCCATACATAAAGTTTTGTCTATTATATAATTATTTAAAAAGTAAAATTTAAAAAAATCTACAGTAGAGCTATTTCATGTATAAACAAAGAGAAATCTACTGGTATGCTTACCGGTAAATATGATATGTGGTATTTTATTACTTGTTTGTGGAGATAACTGTTGCTGCTGTTGCTGTTGTTGTTGTAAATGGTTGGGTGATGATGGTTGTTGCTGTTGAACTTGTTTCTGATGGCCGGTTTGATGTTGTGGCGAGGATTGTTGTGTTGATACTGTATTTAATAGCTGTTGCTGCTGAGAGCAGAGTGAGTTCAAGTCAGAAGGATAGAATGAAACATTAAATTCTTGGTTGCCACTGGTAGCAGCTGCAAATCTCTGGAAGTCTTCTTCTGTTATTTCCAAAGATTGTGGAGAGGTCTGGTAACTGGTCAAATTGGTTAATGAGTTGGAGTTAACAGAGCTCAGTGTTGATGGTTGATTATCAGGAAGCTGGAAGATATACATATTGATATCAGTTTATAAAAAGCGCAAATAAATGGCATGGCTCTTAATGATACTCTGAATATAATCATATCTTTTGCTTTATAATCCTTTGCTTTTACGTACAAATGTTCCTCCAGTAATTGGTTTATGATAAAAGACTAAATGTACAAGAGATTATATATATGATATAAATAAAAAACAGCAAGAAATGATATTAATTTTAGTGAAATTTTAAGTCACAGTACAAAGGAAATAAGAGAATTAAAAAAAAAAAAAACCCAAAAAACAAATAGATGAATATTTAGAGTAGAATCAGCTAGAACAGGCATTGTTTAACTAGTTATTTTTCTTTCTCTCATTCACATATTCACATTGTTGCAGCTTTTTACCATGTGATTAAGGTAGTAACTTTACTTTTTAGTTTGGAGGGTTAGACTCTATCAGGTTATCTTGCCCAAGACATACCACTGCTGCTATGTGGTGCCCCTATGACTCTCAATGGGACTCATAATGAACTTTATCATTACCCCTTTCTACAATACTCCTAACACTTATTTTAATAAATTTTGATTGACATAAAAGTTAATTAATGTTAGTTTTATTTTTTTTAATGGCAAAAAAGTTGGAAATGGGTTATTTTTGCTGACAAAATTTTTCGCCTTGTAATATATTTTTTTTTTTTTTTTCAAAAAAACATTAGCTGGTAATATTTTTTTTTTTCAAAAAAATGTATAGTTTAAGGGTTTATTTTGTTTTTGGCATATTAACCTCAATGGGTTATTTTACTGACAAGATTTTTTTGCTGGTACAATTTTCTTTTTTCAAAAATTTATTGATGGTAATATTTATTTTTTAAAAAAATTTATTATTGGTAATAATTTTTGTTACTATAAAAATGAATTTTTTAATAATTTTTTTTAAAAAAAATTTTTTTTTTGAGAAAACCAATTTTTACACTTTCAGCAGATACTCTTGTTTTGAATTCAGATTGGGTCAAATAAATTTGCCCATGCTGGGATCCTAAAATAAAATACACACCTCCAGGTCATTTGGACTTGGGAACACTAGATCTCTTCAATTTTCCTGAAATTCTCCTTCCAGTTGAATGTGGTTTATCATCTTACCCAGGATGCTAATTAATTCTAATTAAAAAATGTAGTCTATTATAATTTAATTTTAAGTCTAAAAGAAGTGTAATTAATCAATTGCATAGTAGATTTTATTAGTAAATGAAAAGTTTGATATTAAATTTAAAATTTTTTATTTCCAAACATCAGTTTGATTATTTTTTGAGAATTTTAAAACAGTTTTATATTTTATACAGTTTGAACTATTTTTTTGAACTGATGAAGAATTAATTTCTAATTCAATAACACAATTCTCACACATGTTCAGTTAAATGTATTTAAAAATCAAGCATGTAATATATAAATACATGCATAGTAAAAATATATATCTCAATTTTATATATTAGATGGGAAACGTTCTATGTTTTAAAGTTTTCCATATATTCATGTTAACTTACAGGTTTATATAATTTGATACTTTTGTGTCAAACCTTTTTTAAATGTAATTTGAAAATCATCCATTATTATATTTAGCTATGGTAATTGGCTAACTAATTAAAATAGAAATAAATTTTAATTTTTTCTTTCCAAAAAAGAGCTATCCTAAATGAAAGAAAGAATCGATCTTTATAAAGAAAAGATTTTATTTTATTTTTAAAGGAATACTTTAAAGATAATAAACCTCAAAAAAAAAGCCATATGTGAGGTTGAAATCAGGTATCATTTGGCCAAGAATAGAACAGAAAATGGTTAATAGATAACCTAGCATGGTTTGAGACAAGAGGTAATTAATGATTTGCAACTTAGGAAATGATGGAATTACAGGAAATTAGTGGATTTCTTCAAAAACGAATCACCAAAATTAAATAATGACTAACGAAAAAATATTGGAAGATTTAACATTAGTTTTTTAATGGATTTTTTGTTGACAAAGAAATGACAAATGATTGTTTGTTGGTTCATCCTGTTTGTAAATGAAAAGAAAAAAACATTTAAGGAATTGCTTTCCGTTTGTTTACGTCCAATTTCATTTTTTCATTTTGGGCCAAAATAGGATTTAAACCACCAAAAAATTGTGGAAATAAATTAAAACTTTCTTACGATCTGAAATGTTTTGTTGGAAAATAGAAAATGTTTTAGTTTTGAAAGTAAATGATAAGATAATTCAGGAGAATTTATTTTTAAATTTTTTTATTTGGAAACCTGATAGGATTTCAAGGAAAAGAATTTTGCAAGATACAAAGGAGTGAAATGGAATACAAGCTTTAAATTTGGGTTGAACAAAGTTCATGTTTAACAGCAGATGAAGACTAAAACTGTATAATGATGCCTAATCACTTTTACATCATTCAGCCTACATTTGTAGGTATTGACAAAATGTTTGTTTTAATTGATTGAAGGAAGAAAGGAAAGAGAACTTTCAAGTGGTAAATTTGCGCAAAAATTATTTTACAAAACTAGAAATGTTTCAGCCGGGTGTGAAACTAATCACCTTGTCTAGTGTATGTTAATGGAAAAATATATGAATATTAAAATTGCAAATAAAAACAAATGACATTTGGGATATCAAAATTTCTTCATGTCCATAAAGAAATAGGTATAAAGAAAAATATAATTAGAGAGTCAAAAACAATTATAGAATAATGATTGTAAGAATTATAATTAATTACCTCAGCTTTCTAAACGAATGAGAATGAACCATTCCCCGCCTTTACACTTGAATAAAATGACAGCACTAATGAAAATCATTAGGACAGATTGATATGGATCAACAAAAATTTTTAAGTTTTTCCTATTTCAGAAATAAAAGTAACACTTATTAGCACTGACAAACATTCAAGGCAATAAATTGTTCAGCAATGTCTTGTATTTTCCAATTATTAGACACTCAAATTTGGCAATTTAAAAATTTAGAATAAATTTGAGGGAATTTTTAAAAAAAAAAAAGAAATCAAAGAAAAGCATGCAACAACAGAACAAATCCAGCTTCAGTGTTTTTGAAAAACTCAAGTTCTGAATGGTCAATAAACAGCCAATTAAGAACCCAAGTGGATTTTTTTGATTGCACTAAATTTAAAAAACCTGCCTATTAGCAGAGCCAAAAAGTAAACCAAGAAAAAAGTCATTCACACTCACCAGTGAACATCGTGACTCTGAACGATTTTACATTTTAAATTCAGATCATTCTTAATCTTAAGTTTTAACATTACATTGAACATTCAACAAACATTAAGAAAGAAAGACTCACTCACCAAACATTTTATGACAAGGAAAATAGAATTTCATGAGACAAATGATGATTAATTTTAAATTTTCCAATCTTCAAGAACATTGTCTTATATTAATCAAAATGACAACTTCATTGAAGGAAATTGTGACACTATTTAGCTATGGTAATTGGCTAACTAATTAACTATAGAAATTAAAACAAGAAATACTTAAAGCAAAAAAGAGCCAAATGATACCCCGATCGGTGTTAAAAAGAAAAGATTTTATTTACAAAAAAGATACTTTTCACAAAAGACAGTAAACCAATGGAAAAAGCCATATGTGAGGTTTTGTCTGGTTGATTCATGTCTTGCCAAGGGAGATAGGAAGAAAGGCAAATATTAAGATATCGGCCAGACCATGTCGGTCATAAAAATTTCAGCTTGAGACAATTGCTGATACAGGTAGGGAGAATCAATATTAATTATCTTTTCAAAATATTGTTTATTTTTTTTCTTGGTCACCGGTGAGGAAAAGCAATGTGGCAATTATAAAGTTTTGGCATTGTCTCGACATAGGTGAGAGGATTGTTATCAATGTGTTGCTTCAGATGCTGAAACATTGAATATGGCGTTTTTAAAATTTAAAATTTTGGCATGAGACAGAAAATAGAGTGGAGAATTGAGATTTGGAGAGATAAAAGAATTTAATTTCTCAACAAGCCAAGGATTCCATTATAAAGCTAACTTCACAAAGGGACCAGATGGCAAACTTTGACAGTGATTGATGGAGTTGGTAGAGAGTGCTGGCTAAGTGAATTCTGCGTAGCCAAAAGATATGATAGAAATTTAATTGGCAATATGGAATTCGTAAAAATTTTGGCTGATGAAAAAAGAAGAATTTTGTAAGTAAAAATTCTAGATTATAATTTTAAGAGGGCCTACTTAGCAACACCCGCATGGCTGGGATGGCATTGGTTGAGTAGCAATTGTGATTGGCGGAGGTGAATGGATGAGAAAGACGGAGAAGTTATTATCGCCCACTGAAGGGATTGGTATGAGATATCAATGTGAGAGAGAAAGAGTCTAGGAGGATAGCTCTCCTCCGACCTTCCCTCACAGATGACGGAGGCCCCCCCAAAGGAAAGTGGTTAATTTTCCAAAAATGGGCAGTAATCAAATTTCTTGGCCTGACAACAAAAATTTCTTGTTAGAAATCGAGATTTACCGAGAACCCATGGCTGTGTCTGGCCCTACACCGGGTTTTGGTTGGTATCCATATAAACAAACGTCCTCAGGTCATTCAGAGAGTTCTGAGTTGCAGTTGAACTGGTTTTGGAGTTTGAGTCAGAGCTTAACCAGAGTGTTGCCTCGCAGAAGCTGACTGAGAGATTTCACGACCTCCAACTTTGCCTATCCTACCAATAGCAAGTTATACTGATGAATAAACCAAGCCAGCACCTAAGAACTAAATCTTGACTTAAGATACCAACTTGCTTGAAACATAGAAGTGTCACATTCCGTAGAAAACAGGCTAGGAGAAAAACACTCTCCTGTATATAACAGAAGGATAAAGTTAATTTGTTATTTCTTAACATACTTGAACCTCTTGGGTTTTTTCTTTTATTTACTTCTTTTTCTTTATGCTTGTGCAATACCACCTTTAGTCTGGACTCAGCTTACACTACAGCCCGACACCTGATTGATATCGTTTACCTAAGATCAAAGTCAC